ATTCCTATGTACTAGCATCATTGATGTTTGCATCAATGAAGCTAAACAACGTCAAAGACTTGTCAGAAATTATGCAAGAATTGAATAAAATCAAATCAAACATGAACAACCAAGCTCAACAGAATAACATAAAATCAAAGTCAGAAAAATCAGCAAATGACGAAAAAATATCAGCAAGAGAACATATCAATAAAATACTTTCTTCAAACAACAATTATAATAGATCAAACACAATAAGTTCAAAAAACTTTAGAGGCAAGCACACTAAATTTAATAAAATAACTAAAAAATAATCCCCTCCCCCCATACATAATTTTATAGCATCAATTAATTATATATATCTACAATCTCAGATACTTTAAATACCTTCATCAACAACAACAAAACCTTAAACTGATACACAAAATACCTTTACTTGTTATATATCCCATACCATACTAAACCAGCTCTGACCTTCTTAGTTAGGAAACGGACCTAATAATTAACGATATTTCGAAATTTGACCTCGAATTTCGAAACCGAATTACGAATTCGAACTCGAAATTAATAATAAATTATGTCATCGATGGGGGGCAGCATCTATCAATAAAAGGCAATTATATTTTGATCTAAATGGTTTCGAACGTAGTTATATAAAGTTTGTCATTGTTTTAGTTGTTATTTCAGTGTTTAGAAAGCTTTTTTTTTGGTTAGGACGGTAAGCAACAGTTATATTACTATCATCAGCAATAAAGTAATACAAACATACATACATTAATTCATGAATCTGAATATCCTTATATCACTGCTTATACCCTTATTATCGGTATGTTCTGCTGCCCATACTAATAATTGGGCTGTTCTGGTTTCGACTTCAAGGTTTTGGTTCAACTATAGACATTTGGCTAATGTTCTGAGTATGTACAGAACTGTCAAGAGACTAGGTATTCCAGATTCGCAAATTATTTTGATGTTAAGTGACGATGTAGCCTGTAATTCAAGAAATCTATTCCCTGGATCTGTTTATAACAACCAAGACAGAATAATAGATCTTTATGGTGAATCTGTGGAGGTCGATTACAGAGGTTACGATGTTACAGTGGAAAATTTTATAAGATTATTAACTGACAGATGGTCAGAAGATCAACCAAAATCAAAGAGATTATTAACTGATGAAAATTCCAATATCTTCATCTATATGACTGGTCATGGTGGTAATGATTTCTTAAAGTTTCAAGATGCTGAAGAAATTGCCTCTGAAGATATTGCTGATGCTTTTGAGCAAATGCATGAGAAGAAAAGATATAATGAAATTTTCTTCATGATTGATACTTGCCAAGCAAATACAATGTTTTCGAAGTTTTATTCTCCAAACATTTTAGCGGTAGGTTCTAGTGAATTAGATGAAAGTTCATACTCTCATCACTCAGATGTGGACATCGGTGTCGCTGTGATTGATAGGTTCACTTATTATAGTTTGGACTTCCTGGAAAATATTGAAAAAAATTCTACTTTGACTCTACAAGATTTATTTGATTCTTATACTTTTGAAAAAGTTCATTCAAACGTAGGTGTAAGAAAAGATCTATATGGCAGAAATCCTAAAGAAGTATTGATTACTGATTTTTTTGCAAATGTTCCAAATATTATCCCTGATACAAATTCAGAAATTAAAAAATCAAATTATAAAAATGCAAACTCAAAACATTCTTCAAGCAATATATTACAAATGGTAATGCAAAAAGCTACATCTTTACCAGACGTGGCAAATACCGAATCATTACAAAAGACATTTTCTATGGGTAAAATAATTAATAATGAAGTTAATGATGATTCCAAAAAATTGAGCAAAATTGTTCCAACAGCAAGTATCTCAATCTTAATATTAGCTTTCATAATTATATTCCAATTATCAAAACCAATGAATAATGAGAATATGGTAGATTTATTCTCAAAATGATCAACAATATATCTTTTCAAGACTTTGAACACAATAAAAATGGATTAAACTTTAATTAGATAAATACATATATATATGTATCTATATATCAATATGAAAATATGGAAAAAAAAACATAAATGGATAAAATTAAGAAGATTTAGTCTTAAAAGAAATTAGCAGATAATATATTATAATAAGTTAATTAAACTACATACCAAATAAGTATAGATTATATATATAATTATCCAACCTAACAATGGATAATAATCTTTCAAATTTCGATCACTCTTGTTGCTGTTGAAGCATTAACCAGTTATTTTTATACTCTTCTAATGAACCAACAGCTTGTTCTTTTAGGACACTAGACTTTCTTCCTGTTCCATATTTTTGATAGGTTTGATCATAAATTTCATATGGACCAAACATACTTTTCTTCTGTTGGTGATCAATATCATCTTCATCATCTTCAAAGATTAACGCATCATTATCTGTAGAAGCAAAAACATCATTCTGCTCAACAGAAGTTGTAGTTACACCATGTTGAACTTGGTCAAATGTATTTGCTCCATTACTTGTTAATGAGTTTTGTGTATTACTCATCCTAGGTGACGGAGTAAAGCTTGTACGTCTGTTATTGAAAGAACCCACCATATTGACTGTATTGTGAGAAACAGATAAAGTAGCCTCATTTGAGATCACTGATGATCTTCTGTGGTGAGGTGGTATGTAAACTCCTGGTTTATATTTGTATGTGGAACTCCTTCTACGATTATCAGGAAGCATAGTGTCGACAGAAGTATCATGTTGATGATTTTGACTTGAACTTGGTCCATGAACATTTGCATTCTTAGGAATAGTTGATTTTAATAAATCAGGAACTTGGTTACTTGGAGAGCGATTGAATCCATTATTTGCACCATGTAATGATAATTTATTCATATCTTCAGTGAAATCGTATTCATTTTCTTCCAACGTGAAAAGAACATCATCTAAATCATGTTCACCGTTATCAATTGCTGAAGATTCCTGGGCAAATTGTTCGTGGTATGTTGTAGTTTGTTCTTTTAGGACAGTGTTTATATCAGGAATAATGCCTTGATCTGAATAAGAAGAAAACGAAGACCTTTGGTTTGGAGGAATATATCTACCTGATGGGGCATCAGATCTTGTTCCACTGTTTGTCCTACTGTTAGGTTTATGTTTGGGTATCGTTAAACCATCTCCATAAATAGAACTTCCAGTTGTACTAGGTCTTCTAGATTTATTGTAACTGTTATTGTTAATGTTCTTATGCCAATTTTTATTGAAATTAATAGTATTATAATTATTACCTTTGTTGTAATGCTGTTTATGCTGCTTGTTGTTAAAGATACCTTCCATGTATCTGTTATGCACACTTGGGGGAGTGAAAAAATCTCTGGTATTAAAATCATCCTTAGATTTGTAATCATGCAAGAAATTATTCATGTACGTATTAGGGGTTGGAAGACCAAGTGGTTTCCTTGAATGTTTAATGATAGTATTTTTTTTCTTATTTTGAATCTTAATAGCATTAGTGTGCTTGCCTTTGTTATCATAAAATTGGCGATTGAGGCCATTTTGGTTGTTTTGCGTACTTGAATCGGCTTTATGGGACCGTTTATTAAATCTGAATTTAGGTACTGATTTCGCCCTTTCTGTTAGTTCTGATTTAACAGGTTCGGTTTTTTCATCATCCATCTTCGTTGCCATGCTTTCACCAGTTATCAAAATTGGTTTAGTATCAGTATCTGTAGTCAGTAACATGGATGGGACAGGAGTAGGTAATGAAAAGGGAGCAGGGGCTGATGATGGGGGAATTGGCTGTAATTGGGCGGAGGAACTTAAATAATCGCCATTATCAGTAATAGGAGTGAAGTTGTCACTGCCTAATCTATTGTAATATTCATCATCTAAAGTGAATTCGGATAAATTTTGAAGTTCCATTCTCATTTTCTTCAAATCTCTATTGGTTGGATCAATAGTCATAGAATATCTTAAAACTTGAAAAAAATCGTAGCTCATTGTTGAAAACACATCAAATAAAGCCTCTCTGTTAGCGGCAAAATAACAAAACGACTTATCAGATTGATCAGCAACACTAAATGGGTTCTTATGAAATACTATATTAAGAAAAACAACACCCATAGCCCATAAATCTACTTTTGAACAATTGTAAGGCTCATTCCTTTCCTGAATATCTAAGTTTGAATCAATAGTTCTGGTGCCATGTATCTTTCACTTCCAACATTTCTGTCATATGAGGTCAACGAATTTGTGCAAGACCCCAATCTGTTAATTTAATTGTCCAGTCGATACCAGAAATTAAGATATTTTCTGGTTTAATATCTCTATGGAAAATATCCTTTGAATGAACGTACTCGACTGAATCCATTATTTGATTAAAAATACTTTTTATGCTAGAAGTTTTTCTTGGTACAATATCATCTTTGATAGCTTCGTATAAATCACCCCCTGAACAATATTCCATGATAATATAAGAGTCAAAAAAATCTAATAAAGAAACGATATTTGAATGGGTTCCTATTTTCATTTGAATGTCAACCTCATACATTGCCTCCAGGCAAATGTCTTTTGATAATCTTGATCTGACTTTTGATGAAATCATCGATTTTTTATGTTTTACCATTTGTTCTCTTTTTTCTAAACTTGAATCTGGACTTCCTTTAAAATCGCTATCACTATCGTTGTCATTATCATTTTTGTCATATTTGCCATTTGGCAAATTATCATTACAATCATCATCATCATCATTATCCAATTTAAAGATATATTTAACGGCTACCAATTTCTTTGTGACTACATCCTTTGCCAAAGAAACATATCCGTATGATCCTTCACTAATATCTTCAACTTTTTGATAGCGGTCATTTAAAATACCACCTTCTTTATAAATATCGTAATCTAAAGTCATTATAGCACGATTTTAAAAGCTTTGTTGAATTTAGTTTTAGATTAATTTTAAAAGTTTTATGAAATAGTATTAGTTCAATTATCACCTAATTGTTTTAGAGTAAAACGTTTTTTAAAAAAATATAAGTATATTTTTTTTAGTAATTCTTAATTAATATCTTTTATTAAGGAACTAATAGATCTTAATAACAAGTATCCCAAAATTTCAAAAAGTCTTTACAATATATTTTTTTCTGCTGGAATATAATACAGTGAAAATTAAATCGGGACTTGGTGGAAGTAAAATTTCGTCTTATTTAGCTTTACAACTTTGAACTTAATTTCTTTTTAGTTGAGGAACTGTGAATCTTTGGGAAGAAACTATTTTGAAATATTAAGATAACAATTTATTTTTTTTAGAAATATTTTTTCTTAATTTATTATATTTGTTAAACTCTTGATTATGGTAACCTGCAAATCGTAATCTTATTCTTTGTATAGACTTTGGCTTTGACTTTCGAAAAAAATAACTGCACAAATAAAAGAGGATTCTTCACAGAAAACTTGAATATAAAACACAAATAAAACTTTCCAAAAAGTATCTAGGATAGAATTGGAAAGGCAACTTGTTATATGAAGAGATTAATTAGTTTGGATTCTATTACCTGAATTTGCATACGTAAAATGCCCTTTTAATAAATTTTTAAGTTTAAATTGATAAAATACTTTGAATATTATTCTGATATTGAGATGAGAGAAAGAATTAAGTTGATGCAAATGCGAATGACAGCAACAGGGTCGGGGGATAACAATATGAATGTAGTTTTGGAGTAAGATCTCACTATAAGTTAACTATTTCCAAAACAAAATAAAATAAAATAACCGGAATATTATAGGAAAGGGAAATTTGGAAAATATATTGTCAATACTGGACCAGATTTCCTTTGCAATAACCTAATATTCGAATGCAAAAAAGTAAATTACTTTGTAGAATTATTATTTGTTGTGAATATATCTGAATATATTCCTGTATTTTTGTCTTTACTACAATACTTCTGTATTTTTTTTTTTTGAGGGAGGAGGGAGGGAGGAATTGAAGTAGTATGTGTATAGAGGTAAACCAAAAACTAATGAAATAAACAGGTCTGCCGAATATATATATATATATATATATTAATGGCGACTAGGCTTAATTTCTATTAATTTAATGAAGTCACAATTCAAAAAGAAGGCAACGAAAGAATACCAAACTAAAATGACGATGGGGGGAGTTGTATTAATGACTGAAGTCTGTTAGTTGATCTGATGTAAGGCTCCTAACTATTTATTGATCTTGTTACTATGAGTGATTTTTAAACAAAAGTCAAAAAATTATCTAAAGCCAGAAAGTATGTTTTAAGAAATAAAGAGATCATATATAACTGGTAACTAATGTCAGTTCGTAATTCATCTTAAGTATCTATATATCCAAAAATTTTGGCTTAAACCCTTTCTTGTTTCCAGAAGGAATTTTTTTGATCTTTTCTTCACACTTTTATACCGACTACGTCGTTTGCAGTGATGTGCTGTTATGTATGGGACGGTTTATCACGTGATATGGGGTGAGGGGGAGGGGATATTTATTTATGACGTAAGAATAGATAGAGATCTATATCTGGATATTGCCAAGTGTAGTATGAAGTATACTGTTTTGTGTTTAGTACATTTCATTTCGTATTAAAAATGTCTGTCGTTTAAACTATCTATTTTTTTCCATTTTTATTGTATTTTATTTAGAATGTACTTCCTCTTTCTGTCTCACACATGACATGTATGTGTCATGTGACTGTGTGGCTGGCATTTGGTAGTCCACTGGCCCATCCCTCAAATAGAATAAGAAAATGGTGGTATCATGTAATACATCTAGTACATGCATAGTTAAGTAACTAATGTTCGAAATTCTTACCAGTTATCTAAAATAAATAAAATCAGTCACATGATCAATATCACTTTCCTCCGAAATCGAAAATTTTTTTCTGCCAACATGAGTTTTTCCGCATTGGGACATATTACGTAATCCAAATCAGACCAAAAAGGGAAATTTCAAAAAGCTGAGATAAAAAAAGAAACAAAAAGAAATGAGAACAAGAATTCCAACCGAAGCAGTGATCTGACTATACTTAAAAGATAATATGAAATTCTCTGCAACTAGTCATAATTGCTTATTTATGCTAGTATCTGAGAAGTGCATTGATAATAGCCAATGATTAGAGCTTGCAAACGTATTGTTTCTAGTGGTTTAAGTATTTCATCGACGAAATTCGCAAGACAAAGCTTTAGATCTTTAATGAGTTTGGTAGATAAGAATAATGCGAAGGACCCAAAACTAAGAGATTATCAACAGACTGCCATTGATAAATGTATAGAGTCTATTGATTCTGGTACTAGAAGAATCGGTGTCTCCATGGCCACTGGAGGTGGTAAAACCGTTATATTTAGCAATCTGATTAATCAACTGAAACATAGGCATATTGCAAGTCAGACCACCGATAGCAAATTCCGTTCTTTAATATTGGTTCATAGGAAAGAATTGGCTCTACAAGCAGCCGATGTAATCAAAACTTTTGGTGATGATGATGCTAATGTCCAAATAGAAATGGGGAAATTTAAATGCGATGTAGAGAGTTCGGATGTCATCATCGCTTCTGTACAATCTTTAATAAGAAGATTGGATAAATATTCGGCTGATGATATTAATTTAATCATCATAGATGAAGCTCATCATGCCGCTGCTAAAACTTATATTAATATCTTGAAACATTTCAATACAGACGTTCCTGAAACAAAGATTCCTGTCGTGGGTTTTAGTGCCACTTTTGAAAGAGCAGATAATAAGTCATTATCTTGCGCGATAGATGAGATTGTCTATCATAGAGGTATAGTTGAGATGATTGATGAAAATTGGTTATGTGAAGGTAAATTCACTACAGTGGATATTAAACTAGAATTGAATGATGTTGAATCAGTAGGCTCGGATTTTAAAATAAATCAACTGTCCAAAGTTATGAATACTGATGAAATTAATCAAGTTATTTTGAAAACTTATCAGGCTAAAAAATTAGAAAATAATCTGAAATCAACCTTGTTATTTGCTGTAGATGTGGACCATGTTATAGCCTTATGTGACCTCTTTAATAAAAATGGTGTAAATGCAGAATATGTATTGGGGTCGACGAATGATGTAAAAAGAGATGAAACAATAAAGGATTTTAAAAATGGTAAAATTGAAGTATTGGTAAATTGTGGGATATTTACAGAAGGCACAGATATACCTTCCATTGACTGTATATTGTTAGGCAGACCCACAAAATCAAGATCATTGCTGATTCAAATGATAGGGCGTGGTCTTAGATTACACCACTCGAAATCTCATTGTCATATAATTGACTTCATTGGAGCTGCGAATGTGGGAGTAGTATCGGTACCAACACTAGCTGGTATAGATGAATGCACTGAATCGTTATCTGAACTAACTTTAGAAGACTTAAGGGAAATTAAACAAGAGATCGATGCCAAAATCTCTCAACAACAAAGAAAGGAAGAGGAACAACAAAACATAATAAAAGAACAGTTTAATGAATTGGTGAAAAATGTTACATCTTTTGACTTGACCCTGACAACTTTCGAAGATTTTAAAAGTTTTAATGAATCAACAAACCAATCCAAATATAAATATCGACTATCCACAAGTTTGAATGAATTAACGCAACTCAGGCAATCAAAATATCCTTGGGTTAGAATTTCTGATAAAGCTTGGGCTTCACCCATATTTGGCGATGCTCATTTGAGATTATACAAAGAAAGAGATAAACCTAATGACTCTTCTAACTCAAGTCTCGTTGACAAATATGTGTTAAAACTATATCGACAACTACCGACATATGTACCTAAAGGTGGGGGAATTCGTTTTGTTCCAAAAGAATTGATTGTCAGTGAAGATATTAAAACTTCTTTGGGCAAAGCACAGCAAGTTATGGAGAAAATCTCAAGTGATGAGGAGAACAATGAATATGGAAATGTTAAAAACTTTTCCAAATATGCAAAATGGAGATCTAAACTAGCATCTCCAAAACAAAAGACGCTGATTAGGTCTAAGTTGAAAAGTCTAAATAATAGCTCTAATCCTTCTCCCAATGCTAAAGATGATCTAAAAATTGACGATTATATAAAAACAATGACAAAAGGAGATGCATCTAATATTTTGTTTGCCTCACAAATTTCATCAGTATTTCCAATTAGAGCATTATTAAAAATGATATTATATGATAATAAAAATTGATATAGAAATATATTTCCATGGTACATTAACTAAACATTGCATTTTGACAATAAATTTATTATAATTTCTTCAATACATAGATCATAGCGCATATAAATATAATATTTGTAATATTGTAAGAGATATATATATTTTATTATGAAATAATATTGTAAGGATTATTCACAACAATGTAACTTGTACATAATTGATTCTACATCTTTAAATACATATGACAGTATGTATTTATTTCATTAGATGTCGGTTGAAATTATTACGCCTGAAATCATCGCTTGTAGAGAAAAATATTTAGAATTTGGAAAGCCAGGTCTATATCAAAAATTCATATTTGTTTAATAACAATATAGATGTAAAAGCAAAATAGCAACAGGTTATGTCACTTGACAACAATTATTAGTGATACATTCTATTTACAGAATTGATTTCTAGTTTCAAGTAGTCAATATGTCGTACTCCAGAAATACATATCAGCAGCATGGTGGACAAAGGCCTAATAGATATAATCCAACTCAAAGCGCTAGTCCAAATCCAACCCAACAGAGGAATAATCAACTTTATATGGGTGATTTAGATACCAAATGGGATGAACAAACAGTTCGGAATATATGGGCGCAATTAGGTGAGAATAATATAAAGGTTAAAATGATGTGGAATATGAATAATATTAATTCTCAAACTGCAAAACATAATTTAGGCTATTGTTTTATTGAATTTCCTGATCCATCTTCAGCATCGAATGCTTTACTTAAGAATGGTATTCCTATTCCAAACCATTCTGGAAGGTTTTTAAAGCTAAATTGGACTACGGGATCTAATATTGGACCATCTCATTCGACGTATAACCAAAATAGGACATCTCTTCAAGGAATGTCAGTATTTGTGGGTGATTTAGCTCCTAATGTTATAGAATCTCAATTATTTGAACTATCAACTCTCAATTTCCATCTACTGAGCATGTCAAAATTGTGTATGATCAAATAACAGGCTTTTCAAAAGTTATGGGTTTGTAAGGTTTGAAGATACCATGACCAGAGGAAACCCTGTCGGAAAGAATGGAATTTTTTAAATGAAAGGCAAATAAAATGGTCCAGTGGACATCTGGAATGCTCTTCAGTATCAGGCAAATTCCATGTAGATTTTCTTCCAGACAACAACCTCATGGTGGTTTCAAAAAGACTTTAGCTCCCAAAAGGAGTAATCCGGTAAGTACATCCCAGTTTATAGTTGCGGTACAACAGCACCTCAAATTAACATATCAACAGACCCTAATAATTCAACTTTGTTTATTACAGGATTACCAAATTCAATGAATGAAAATGAATTATATTTGCATTTTAAAAGTTTTGGTAAAATAGTATTTCTAAGAATAATTTCAAATGCTCAAGCTGCATTGTTGCAATATTTATACAGAAAATCAGCAGAATCGGCAATGATGAACTTACAAGACATTTCAATCAAAGGTAAAAAAATTAAGATAACATGGGGCATGCCAGAAATTCAGGCCAATTTATTAAAATTACGAAATTCAGGTTCTTCTATTAACAAGTCTGAAAATTATAAACCACAACCTGCAGTTGATAGAAATATTTGTGGATATACATCTCATGTAGGGTCTCAGATTACAGGTATTGAGGAAACATCCACAATTTCAAAACTACTTCCAGGATACATAGGATTAGATTCTTCAATAGATCTGACGCAAAACAAAGACACCAACAATAAATATAAATTTGATCTAAAATTTAATACCTCTAAGGATAGGAATAATTCTCCAGAGGGGAATACCTCGTATGTAACTGAAAAGATGAGATCATTGGATAGATTAGAAGAAGGTAGCAATGGGACACTGACAATGTGAATTTAAATTCCAAAAATCAATAAACAGTCGCATATCAACACCGATATTTTTAACCCAGTCATAAAATATATGAAATTCGAATTGAAAGGCCAGCATCCATATATTAATAGGTAACCAATTCTGATGTCATACACTAGAAGCTGCATTAATTGTGTGTTTTTTTTTCTTGTTTTTTTTTCACATTTTTATCTTGAAGTCAAATTATCATAGTTATTGACATATTAATAAGTAAATAGTTCAGATAATGTTAGTATCAAATAGATGCTAAACATTCAATAATTATAATTATAATTAGTATACCTTCAATCATAAAGAACACTACTAGAATCAGTATCTATTTCATCGCAAAGTACGGATATCTTATACAGTATTATTGTATATAGTGTAATTTTTTTTTTTCACTGATTTGTCCTATAGCCTAAAATGCGATGTGATGCGATGCGATGAGCTGAAAATTTGATCAAGATTAAACTTGATTGCACTTTTAGATGAGTTTCGATGAGCTGGACTTTGGAGTTTAAGATATATCAGTATTTAGTTCATGACTGTATATTACGCAACCGTTGTAATATTGTATTGCTATAGAGAAAAGTTTATCTGTGTACGAAGTTATAGCTTGACTGAGGGGGAAACGCAAGAACTAGATAAGTTTTTTGGAATTTGGTAATAGTATTTATTAAATATATATAGAGAGGTGTGGTAAAATAATCGAAAATGGCAGCTGAAGAGATTAATATAAAGAATAAAATGAGAAGACAGCAATTATTTGCTGATCTTAAGGACCAGCAGAATAAGGAACGTCATACGATGAGACGCAAGAGGGCTCAAGAAGAAAGAGAGAACCCTGAAATGAAAGAGAAGAGATTGAAAGAAAATGTAACAAAAACCATTGAATCGATGAGAGTCTATGACGAAACTATCAATCAAGCAATCGAAGGTGATGAAGATGATTTAATGAAGTATTTCAATTCTGATAGCAAACAACCACCAAAAATTTTAGTTACCACCAATGTTAATGCGAAGAAGAAAGCCTATGAATTTGCAAACGTTTTAATTGAAGTGTTACCAAATGTCACATTTGTCAAGAGAAAGTTTGGATACAAATTAAAAGAAATTGTTGAGATGTGTAATAAGAGAAATTTCACCGATTTAGTTATAATCAACGAAGACAAGAAGAAGGTAACGGGGTTGACATTTGTACATTTACCAGAGGGACCATCATTCTATTTCAAGATAAGTTCATATGTTGAAGTTCAGAAAATTGTTGGACACGGTAGGGCAACAAGTCACATTCCAGAACTTATTTTGAATAACTTTCAAACGAGATTGGGTAAGACAGTAGGTAGATTGTTTCAATCAATTTTCCCACAGAATCCTGATTTTGAAGGTAGACAGGTAATCACATTGCACAATCAAAGAGATTATATTTTCTTCAGAAGACATAGATATGTGTTCAAGAATGAAGAGAGAGTTGGTTTACAAGAACTTGGTCCACAATTCACAATGAAATTGAAAAGACTGCAGAATGGTATCAAAGAGGAAACGGAATGGGAGCACAAACCAGAAATGGACAAAGAGAAGAAACAATTCTACTTATAAGATCGCAACGGCAGTTACAACAAACAAACATTTTTCTGTTCTTCTATATCGACGACTCAAAGAAGCCTGTATGTGTGTGTGTGTATTTTTTGTTAATTTCCATCTCACGTAATATAAATAATTAAACTGTGTACAATATAAAAGATAATAGACCCCAAGACAATGGATCCCAAGATATGACACGAAGGTTTTGAAGAAATGTATATATACGTATATTGTGTCGTTCTTGTATTCTAAAAAGTCTCTTGATAGATGAAATATGTAGGCTCTGGGTATAGCGCATATCTAGTAATATAAACCAACGGCGCTATCAACACCAAATCCACACACATTCATCACCTGAAACGATTGGCAGACGTTCCTTTCAGCGGCGGGTTTCGAGAAATTTAAAGGTGGCGAAATCAAAATACCAAAAAAATGTAAAGCTATAGCCATAATAAATAATAATAGTTAAAAAATGGTTAAAAACAAACTAATCTATATTCATTTTAGAGATATCAAAGTGATATTTGGTGTTTGATATTTGGTTTCAAGTCATCTAGTTGTCGGTATACCATTGACTTGTGTATTATAAAGTTATTGTTTTTTTTTTGGAAAAGTCTGGGGGTCCAGTGAGGTCGTTTGCTTCTAGTTGCTTGCTCTTTTCGTTGGTCGGTTGTCGTTGATACAATTTAGAAAGAGGGGTTTATAATAAAAATAAAACATATATTATACTAAAAAAAAAAATAAGGACAAGAAACTAACACTAGAGAGAGTTATTTTGGTTATCATTCATATTGGTATTGAAGATAATAGATTGATTGATTTATTCTAGGATTCTTTGATTTGATTCTTTTTTTATTTTGCTTTTTGGACTATAAATTGCAACAAGAGAGTTAACCCTGTGTGCAAGCAGGAGTATTAAAGACTTCGTACGTGTGTGTGTGTGTGTCGTGAGAAAGGCTGTTGTTTCACTGAGATTGATAGTTTAGGAGACTAAAAAATTATACAAGATACATATATATCTAATACTATTTCTTTGATAGTATTGATACTGGTTTTATTTGAATTTTTTTTTTGTCGTTGACTATTATTCTTCTCTGTTGATAGCTTGTATCCTTATTATTTTTAATTTAAGTTTCTCGAAACACTATCAATTTCCTTTCAAAGGCATATTTACGTATATTTATATATACACACAATAGTCCCATAACATTGACTATAAACGCCTGAGCGGATTGAACATAAACAAATTTAGTATCAGAGCTGGAATTGGAAAGGGGTTTGGTTCCTATTGAAATTTTTGGTCTGATATTTATTGTATTGTATCATTATTAAGTTTCGTATTATACCTCTCTATTATTATCACTATTAGTATTAGTTCCATTAATCTTCTTCTGATATCACAGACTACTCAAATATGGATTCTAACGGTGCATCCCAGGTTGTTAACGCATTAGAAGTCATTTATTCACCAAAATCAAGTAACGGTGACAGATTGGAAGCACAAAAATTCTTAGACGAGGTAAAATTACGTGATGAGTCTCCTTATTGGGGGTATGACATCGCAATAAATAACCCAAACAATTTTATTCTTAAGCATTTCGGTTTGAGTTTGATAGAAACTGCAATAAAGAAAAAATGGGCAAGTTATGATGACGAGAAAAAAATAGCATTGAGAAAATGGATAATGGAATTGAATTATAAAGTCCAAGACCAAGATCCAAGATACATTAAAGAAAAATTGGCATTTTTATGGGTAGAGGTAGCAAAGAGAACTTGGGGTGAGGCTTTGAAAACTGCTGTACCCGACGAAACTCAATTTGCAAATTCATGGATAGATATGGACAGCAATTTGACGGAATTATGGAATATCAATCAAGCAGCAAGAGAACTAACTTTGATCATATTTAGAATTTTGTTCGAAGATGTCTTCCTGTTGGACGATATAACGGTCCTAAAAAGAATGACTATCATCCAACCTTTATGTGTAATGATTGTATGTCCTCTAGATGTCTTTGCCAAAAGATACAAATTTACAGACAAATGGACCCTATTTAAAGCTAATGAACAAGGATGGTTTGCTTTATGGACAGCAGAACTAAACAATGCCTTGGGCAATAACAATTCCGAATACGTCGTAAGATTGTTAGAGACACTGAAAACATGTTTGAATTGGCCATTGAGTGAAGTTATTATTGATAATAATATATTATACACATTATTACAATGCTTTCTAAGTAATATCCCTAAAGCACAATCTACAGCATTGGACTCGATGCATATTTTATTAACTCGTCCTTATAATAATGAGGAACACTATCAATATGTTATTAACAAGGTATTTGAAAACATGGATCTATTAGATAGAGTTTATGATAATCTATTATTTGATCCTCGTGATGATGTCGATGATGTTAAATACCCAATTTTGAAAAAATTTGTTGATATGATTAGTTGCCTATATGTTTACATCTTTAAAATTAAGAACAGCGATGAACAAGTTCAAAAATATTTAAAGTTAGTTCTGAGGGCAACAAAGAATGATAGTTTGATTGTAAGCGGTTTGACTTTAGATTTATGGTGTTCATGCCTAAGAAATGATGAATTTTTGCCACTTCTTGAAAACGTTATTCCAGAATTATTGGACTTTTCCGCGGATGCGTTAATATATTATGAACAGATTGAAGGTCATGTTTCCAGACTATATGCGGATATAGATTTCCAATCTACCTCAGAGTTTCAAACTTTTTGCTCGACATATAGAAAAAGAATAAGAGACATTATACGACTTATTTCATGTGTTAAAATAGATTATACTAATGATTGGTTAAACAGTAGATTAAATTCATATTTTAGCTCAGCTTATGGTCAAAATGTTTTAAACGCAACATTTTTGGATTCAAAATCTGAACAATACCTAAGTGCTTTATCCCAGTTTATGATTATTGAATGTTTTATTAACGGTTGTATACGTTGGAAAATATGGTATCCTGATGGAGACGATTATTCAGAAAAACTAGATGATATCTTACGTAAGCTACAAGTTTTGTCAAATCAATTGATTGCATTAAATATACGAGTACCATTACTGTTAAAAAAGCAGATTCAGAACTTTGCATTATTTTTAACAATGTTGAAGGACAATGTTCTATTCACATTGCTAGAGAAAATCATTACAAGTGCAACGATGGATTATCCAAATGTTGATCTAGAGGAAAGAAGCGATGAAGCAGATGCTGTTAGAGATTTGAGATATGCCTGTGGAATTGAATTGAATAGAATGGCTTTGTTAATGCCGGAATCATTAAAAAATATATATCCGGAATTGGAAAACGTCATTACTAAGATAATGCCAAATTTGTCATATCATGAAAAGATATCATTTAAGTCATTCCTTCTAACAATTATTCTAAAATCATCTCTTGATAGAAAGGAAGAAAGATTTTCATCAATAGTTGATCCTGAACTTATGGCTTGGTCTGATAAAACCACCGTTGTAGGACTTTCTGATCTTCCATGGTTTATGGAGAGATTAGGTATTGTGAAAATAGCTGAGTATTTCCAAAAGAGGGGTATTGATGAAAACAGTGACCTGTTGACAATTCAGATCGATGAAGAAGGCAGAAAGCTTAAATCAGAATTGACTAAGCATTGGCAAACTTTGTTCCCTGTCCGTGCAACTAGGATGTTTATACACTATTCCATGCAAAGTGTGAAGAAAGAAGAAGAATATAAAATGTTACACGATCTTTGGAAGCCTAGAATCATTCCTATTCTACCTTATATAATGAGATTGTTGTACCAATTACAATCATATCATGATCCTGCTAATTGGAAGGATCTTCCGGTTGTTGTACAAAACTTTGTAAAATATTCTACGGTAGAGAGATTCTGGGAAGCTGGTGCTTCAAATAAATCAAAAGATGAGTTCATAGATGAACATATGAAGGCAATGCAAACATTAAGAGATTTTGCTGATTCTGTTGGTCATATTGTGAGATACACAAGGGAGTATACGTTACTTGTTATCAGCGCAATTTCTTCGCTAGGGTCTGTATTTTTCGGTGTAGATGAAGCTCCTCAGTTACTGATAGATTCTATCGCCATATATAAACCAGATACAAATGAGATAAGTCCTGGTGTATCAACACATGGTTGGAAGCACATCATGAATGTTGCGGTTCGTCCAATCTTGAAAAATTGTCCCGATGAATGTGCTCCAAAGTTCATGAAGGCATTTTTGCCAAAATTATTTGAAACTTTAGATATCATTCTGACAGATAAATGGTCTTCTCATCTTAACGCAGACATGGAAGTAGCGACTGCGACAGATGACGATGAAATGACTGAAGAAATTTTAGAAGAAAATCTACTAAGGCAGTTCACCACTGTTGTGGTAAGAATCATGATTGACTGTGTTGGCCAAACAGGGACAAGTTCTCAGACTTCAAAACCTAAATTTAATGCACATCAAATCAAAATGAGAAAGATAATATTCGGTGAAGTATCTATTTTGGCACCATTTTTGAAGTTATTGAATAGATTGATTTCAGTTAAGGATAGCAAGTGTTCCTTCAACTCTATTCTTGTAATGAAGTCATGTCTAGCTGATGTGTTGATTCAAAATGCAGAGGTAGATGAGTATTTCACTTGTGAAATTATGAAGAATTTGTTGTTAAATGTATTATGCAATCCAGCATTCAAAGATTCATTTTATGAAGCTTTATATGTTTTCACGGTGTTGTTTTTAACACTATGTAAAGAATACAAATCAGCAAGGACATTTCTATATGAATTATCAAATTCATACAATATTGATGGTTTATATGAAAATTTAAGAATGGTTGACAATTATAAAGACCAAAGAACACTAATGATTGATTTTATTGATTGGGTAAAGAATTCAACAGGAAGAAATGATCCTGATGACTTTGACCATGGTGTTGCAGAGAGAAAGAAGCAAGAAAAGAGGGCTGCAGTTTTACAGAGAGCTAATGAGAAATTAATCCAGAAGAATAAAGAAACTGGAGATATGTTAGATGATCCAAATACTGAGGATGCCGCATTCGGTAGTCTTTTCGAAGCTGTGTAACATACTTAATCGTTTCAATTGACGTACTTAAGATCAAGCATTATGTATCAAAATTTTATATAATTATGTTAAATATTTGTATTCTTGATAAAATTGAATTGTATTACTCTTATAATTTTATGGAATTTAAGCCTTAATTTAATTGGAATCAGGTTGAAAAAAATTTAATGATTAATTATTAAGAGACAATGGCCAAGTAATATAAAAAAGATACCGTGAATGATTAATAAAGCTGATGAAAGTCTCACCTGTCTGTTTATATAGACCTTCTAACTATGTCAAGTACAATTTATCACTCATAAAGGATATTGTCTCTACAAAGACGATTAGGAATACTGATGATATCAAAGTAGTGGAGCCTACTTTAAAGATTAATTCTCTTAAAAAGCAGAGCAAGAAAGGTTTAGAAAAGGAAAAAAAATCAAATGGTAAACCAGAATGGACCAGTATCCTTGGGAAATATAACAATTTAAGAAGTTTTGCAACTCAAGGTAATATAAGCTTTTCAAATCGATTTTTTTACACAGCAAATATCAAATATGAATGGAGTGCCTTTAAAGAGAATGAATTCATCAATGATGATGCAGATATTGAAACTAATGAAAACTTGGTAGAGAAGAATGCTTCAGAATCAGTAGTTAAAGAAAAATTGAGAAATGTACTTCCTGAAATTGCGTTTCTGGGTAGTTCCAATGTTGGGAAATCTTCACTGTTAAATAGTTTATTAACAAATTATCAAAAATCAACATTGGATAAAATAGCATGGGCTTCTAAAAGACCAGGTTTTACGAAATCATTGAATTTCTTTAACATTGGTAATAGATTTAGGCTAGTGGATACCCCAGGATATGGGTACAATAGCACATCCAGGCAAGGTAACTTGACATTACACTACTTAAAAAACCGTAAGGAGCTAATAAAATGTTTCTTATTGATATCAGCAGAAAAAGGACTTAATGGTAACGACATGAATATGATTGAATTCATGGCAGAAAATGGCGTTCCATTTGAGTTAGTCTTTACCAAAATGGATAAGTTGAAAAATGTCACAATGCTTGAAAAGCAAATTGAAGATAATAATATTATGAAGTTTCCATCATCTCCACAATTGCTTTTCACTAACTCTGAAGTTTCCAAGAAATGCAGAAAAAGATATGGTGTTGATTATGTCAGATTATTGGTTTTGCAATCGGCAGGCTTGCCATTTAATGTTAAACCTTTAACAATTTCCAAAGTTTAGTTATATATTAAAATCAAAAGTTAAAATGTTTATTATGATAATGACTCTATATAAATCTGTAAATAAATATGTCATATACCAATGCAAATGGTGTTGTAATAGAATATATAAGTGTAAGTCTAAGCTTATTTTTATTTTATAACAGAAATTAAAATTCATCGGCGCAATAATGGAGTCTCTTCTCCTTCTTCATCTGAATCTGAATCAGAGATATTATCTTCATAGTCAGAATCATCCTCTTCACTTTCTTTCAGCATTTCTGCGTAATTTAGAATACTATCCCAGTTAGGATTCAATACATAGTATGCCTCAATTAACCCAATTAGTAACATTCCGGAACCAATACCAATCCATAACCCATAAAGCTTTAGATCTCCAAAGTAACTCAACGACATCCCAAATGGGATTGCAAATAAGTAGTACACGACTAAATTAATAATGCTTCCCAATGCTTGCATACCTTGACCTCTTAAGCAAGAGCCAGCAACTGCATTTAAAGCATCGAAATTTTGGATAACTCCTACTAATGGTAATAAGTTTCTAATCAAGGATATCACTTCTTCATCCCTGGAAAAAAGATTAGCAATGTAATCACGAGTCAATATCAATAGACTACAATTGATAAGTCCGGCAAGTCCAGAAAACATTAAGCCAACCTTTGCTGATATTTGGGCACAATCGATACGTTTAGCGCCTACAAAATTTGCGATTCTAGTTGAGGTTGCTATGCCTACAGCAAATGGAACCATGTAAAGCAGTGCGGCCATTGTTGAAACAGCTGATTGAGCAGCTAAATAACTAGTTCCGAAATATGAACTGAATAGTGTAAGCAATTCATAGGATAATTCCTCTGCTTCCAACATGATAATTCCAGACAATGCAAGTTGACCTAGATCTTTCCAATGTGTAAATGCCTTTTTAGAAAACCCACCCCAACATTTCATCCCATCAATATAGATGGTGTATAATAATAAAAGGAAGAACATTAACCAAAAATTAATTACGACAGCAACAGCGGATCCAATAAATCCTATTCCAATATACTTATTCCAGACAAGTAAATAGCTCAATAGGACGTTTAGAGGAGCGCAAAATGCCAATACATATATTCCAGCATCAAAAATACCCTGAGCTTGTAAAAATCTTTTAAGATTTTCAAAACATATATATCCTGGTGCACCAAGAATCAAAACTCTGAGAAATTGTGCTGTCAACGAAATTAATTCCTTCTCAGGAACAAAAAACATTAATATAGGTTCTGAAAAGAACCACATTAGGGCAAATGGTATGTAAATAATAAAAGAGAATAAAATGCACCTCTGTAAATGAATCCCGACACTTAAATATCTTCCAGAACCATAAGCCTGGGGACATAAAGTATCTAAACTTGTTGCAATACCTTCAAATACAGCGAGAGTGATATTTGAAGTCATTGATGCTAATGATACAGCCGCTAGTTCATTTTTACCCAAGTGGCCTACTGTTAGAGAGCATACCATTGGGAATATTTGTTCCAATAAAAACGTAAAAATTAAAGGTAATGAATAGGACGAAATAATATATGACTCTGATTTGTATGTAATTTCCTCATTATTTAATTCTTGAAGTTGTTCTTCTTCATGCTCATCGAATTCTTGGTAAATTGTGGGGACTGTGCCTCTACTATTAACCGATACATAAGATTGTCTCCTGCGACGTTTACCGTTGAACTCTTGCGAAGCCAAATGATGAGCCTTTTTCTGTGCATGAAGCTGATGCATAAATTCAGCATATTCAAATTCTCTTTGGTTATGGCTTTCTATATCATTTAAAGCCTCTTGATCCTCATTATCAGAATTATATACCGATGAGTATCGCCTATCATGTTCTTGTAAAATCCAATCCATATTAACTGAAGTGTAATCAGGAGTTTCGGATATTCTTGAAGGTAAAGATATAGTTTCACTTAATTCACCGGCATCTTCTCCATACCAACTCTCATTTTCCTCCAACACATCATCCAAGTACGGATAGGCTACAGATTCTCTAACACTGCTCCCAAAATCATCACCCAAAGACATATAACTTCTCTGATCATTTCTTGACCTCTTGGATTTTCGATACTTTCTCACTAAGGGATTCTTATTGTTAGGAGGAAAGAAGCCAAGAGATATCCTCCTATGGGTATTACCAATACCCATACCATTTGTTCGCAGGTTGCTATGGACATGTGATAACGTCTTGGAGAGTAAAGCAGCCATTTTTAAAAGCTAGCAAAGCCAATAACTCAAAATAATACCTGAAAATTTATAAATCGATACTATACTTGATCTTATATTACAAATAAACGATAATATTTTGAACCTCTATAATCATTCAATTAAATTAATCTAGTTCCCTTATTAAATCATCGATATTTTTTTTTCACCTCTTTCTGATTCAAAAATATTTCACTTGAAAAAATATCAGATATCCATTTTTCACGACGTCAGAGGCATTAACAATGAATAATTTGTAATAGAACAATGTCAGTAATTGTTAATTAGGTAGTATGAAGGTATTTTGTAATATTAAATGGTTTATATATTAAAATAAGAGTAATATTATTTAGTAATAGTTTAGTATAAGCTAGGTTCGTAATTAATTGATTAAAGTGTGAACTTGTTTCGTGATCATAAAACGGAATGTATGAAATTTCTGAATAGATTGAAATTAGAGTTCATAACTGGAGTATTACAATTCATATTGTGTTTTCTGGTTACGATAATATGTGAGATATTTAAATGTTTTTTTAATAAATGGTATTTAGACAACTATAATTATAATACTAACAAAAATTCTATTAATTATTTAAAGAATTTGATTTGGTTTGATTTAATCTAATCTTTTGAAAATATTCTTTTGTAAAAAGGTTTATTATCATGTTTTAATTCTTCAACATCGTATCCAACATCACGTTTTGATGGAGGAATCCAACTAGCGGATTTCCATGGCAGAACGCCTTCTTCATACATGATATTAACTTCTTCTAATGTTAATCCTTTTGTTTCAGGTACAAAGAAGAAGACAAAAAAGAATGCAAAGACCATACAACCCATAAATACATAACCATAATAGAAATTAATCGCAGAGGTGATAAATGGAGTGAAAAATGAAATCAAGAAATTCCAAATCCAATTGCAGGCATTAGCAATAGAAATTGCTTTTCCTCTAACTCTCAATGGATAAGATTCTGATACAATAACATAAGCAATTGGAGCCCAACTAGTTGCAAAGCAGAAAATGAAAAAACTTGCAAACACAATCATACAATTACCTGCACCATGTGAAGTTGGTTGATCCATACCATGAGGATATAACCTTGTGACACCTACTGAAGCATAAACAACGTAACAACAAACCATTCCTACAGCTCCCCATTCCAGACAACGACGACGTCCAAAGTGGTCAACTGTATACAAAGCAAAAAATGTTGAAGCAAAGTTAACAACACCCAAAACTATAGCAGTCTCAAATGAATCCTTCAAACCAACAGCTTGAAAAATCGTTGTACCGTAGTAGAAGAAATAATTGGCACCAGTTAATTGTTGTAAAGATTGCACAACCATACCCATCAATGTTCTTCTGAACATTTGAGGTTTACCAGTTATCAATTCAATCCACTCAGCTTTCCCTTCCAATTTCTCCAATTCTACACCTGCCTCATACTTTTCAAGTTCCAGTAAGACTAAAGGTGAATCGATTGTCGTTTTATTAGTTTTAGCTAGAGATCTTTTAGCTTCTTCAGTTTTACCAACTTCAACCAAGAAACGAGGAGATTCTGGAACAAAGGTCAGCCCAAAAATCATGAACAATGCCCAAGCAAAACTTAGCCCCAGTGGTACTCTCCATTGAACGGAATTGTGATAGTTCTTCGTACCAAAATTTGTACAGTAACCTAAAAATATACCAGCTGTGATCATTAATTGATAACAAGAAACCAAAGTACCTCTTAATTGTTTTGGTGAAACTTCTGAAATCAATAGTGGTGACAAAACAGCAATTCCTCCAACACCTAAGCCAGAGATAATTCTACCAATGAAATATTGATACCATTTGTTAATCGATGCAATTTGAATTACAATTCCAGCTATGTAAATAACAACAACAATAGTTAGCCCAATTTTACGTCCATACATTTCACCAGTTTTGGATAAAATGACACCACCAATTGCACAACCAATGTTAAAAATAGACACGATTAAACCAGTTCTTGCATTTGATAAATAATGAGTGCCATCTGAACGTTTTTGACCAAACCTTCTAATGAAATCAGTTTGTCGGACAAATCCAGATATAGTACCTGTATCCCAACCAAAAATGAATCCTCCAAAGGCAACCATTAAACAACAAACAGCAACAAAGATTACATCTCCAGTTGGTTTGTTTTTTTCAATGTTTTCAACTTCTTTTTCCATTTCAGTCAATTCATCTTTCCCTTCATCAGTACTTAAAATACCAGTGGTGCCAGAATTGTTGGTTAAAGTCTGATTATGTTCACTCTGCTCGGTAACAGTTTGATCAGTGGCATAATTATCGTTACTCCGTTGGTTTTCAATCTTCTCAGCTTTAGAAACTTCACCAGCTGGAACATATTCTTCATTGATATATGAAGGAAGGTTCTTAGTAGGTTCAGCACTACTAATACTAGTGTCTACATTGGGAATCTCGTGAGCTTTTGTTCCTTCAGAAATAGGACCTAAATTCTCAGCAATGTCTTGGCCAGTTTTTGTATTGTCCATTTTTTATTATTAATTATAGCTTTTAAAAATATCAATTACTGACGCTTTTCTCTGTCGTTGAGATAAGAATATACAGGGATAAAATTTTAAATTAAAAGAAAATCAAACCTGAAAGAATTAACTTGAATTTAAACTACTCTATGACACTTTTATATTATATCTGTTTTATTGAAAGATTTTTTTTAATAAATTTAGGAAATTTTTGCAATACTTGAAGCAACTGGTAGAAGGTATGTGACGATAAAGAACTAGCAAAGACAATATATCACCAATATATATTAGTTTTTGCTAATAATGAATTTAGAATAGTTTAGGGAAAGAGTGGATTTTATAAAGATATTAAATTGTATTGAAATACATTTGCTAAAAGTGACAAGTTCTTGAAAATAATTTCGTAAGCAGACACATCATTCATTCTGATTTATGGTGATAATAGAAGTTTTGATATCACTCATCCTCAAGAAGGCTGTTGATAGCAATAAACAACAGTCCCTTTTTTTTTAGTTATTTGAAATGAGGTTTCTAACTGTTATCCCAACAATATTTTTCTTTTTGAGGTCTCAATTTGAGTGTCGTTCTTTCCAAATAGTGTCAGTTCACATGTTCTGCTCACTAGAAAGTTAATCTCTAAGTGAAATTGACATAAAAGGATAATCAAGGAAAACAAGCCCTAGAAGGTACAAGAGTTTTGGACCATATAAATTTTTTTCTACTCTGTGCATCCTATTCCAGGCTTTGTCATTCAGTTATCTAAGAAGTGATAATGATAAAAATTGTTAAAAATCCCGGTCTTAATTTATTGCACGAAAGCAAAGCGAATATTCGAATCTATATGAGGTTCATTGTAAAAGTAAATATTACAAAATGTCTTAACAATGCTGGACGGTATTAAATATTGATTTGTTAGAACACATTTTAATTGCTACCTTGTATACATTAGTTTTCTCTCAATTTTTTTTGCCAGTTCTGCTAACGCTCAATTAAATTGATGAGAGTGTCATTTAAATCCAGAGGTTGATAGCTACTCTTATATATGTACGTTAAGTAATTAAATTATCCTTTGATTGATTCCTCTTTAAGTGAATAGATATATGGAAAATGGTATTTTTTAGTAATGTTAGAAATATAATCTACGATCCACATAATTTTTTTTAATTAGTTTCCAAAATTACATATTTAAACTAAACGTAAAAAACATAATTCTTAATTAAGGTAAAAAATGGTATTAAAACTACTAATTAATTACTATTACTATATATAATACTATATTTATAATGCAATGCAGAGCAAAAATATAAGAGAGGGAAGTTATTAATCTATCAATTATTCTCAATAAAAGGTTTTTAATCGAACACATAACAACTATGACGAACAATAATTAATGTATTATATTGGATTATGGTATTTGTACAAATCGAAAATTCGTCTATATGTCATCATCAAAGTTAGAATTATTCTTCATTGTAAGATTCTTCGGTTATAACGTCAGATTCAGAAATGAAGGTAACTTCAGTCCAACCCAAACCTCTTTGTTTCTCACCTCCATTCAATTGTATTGTGAATTCTTCATCATCAGCAAATTGGTAAATATAAGGCTTTGTACCTGCAATACCAGACACAATATTTTTAACAAATTGTGGAATTTCATTCATAACATCAACACGTTCAACTAACTTCTTCAATGGCGTTTCAACAACAACATTGACTTTATGTTCGTCTTTAACTTCTTCATTTTCAATCTCTTCATCTGTGACTGTTGATGCAACACCGTTAAATTCGATGCATAGATTTTTTGGAACTTTCCAGCCAATCGAATCAACCTCAGCATTTAGATGCTTGAAGTCATTATTTACTGTTACAGATAAAATATCATCTTTGCTGGTCACTATACCAATGGAAACCTTAGTGTTGGCATATGATTTTGGTGTAATGAATTCAATCAAAACAGCAGAATTTTCTTCTGAATGAAAATTTAAGAAATTCCAGGCCTTTGCTGCATGATGAGGTTTCATACCTTGGAATGCCATTATGAATAGAGAATATACTGGGTCTTTCTCAGTAAAAACAATCTCAACTTCTTCGTATTCGATTGGTTCCTCTTCGCTTTCATCATCATCATCATCATCACTACTTTCTTCCTCGCTTTCTTCATCATCGTCTTCATCATCATCATCTTCACCGCTCTCCTCTCCTTCATCCTCATTATCTTCTGATACTCCCTCATTGGTACTTTCTTCATCTCCAGATTCCTTAGATTTTTCTTTCTTGACTTTGATGATACCAGTCACTTTGTTTCTTGGCCAAAAAACATGTCTCATAGTACCCCAAGGTTCTTCAATATTATCACCAAAATAAGTAACAGGATCATCGCCTACTTTAACACCTTTTGTCAATCTTGTAACTGTTAAATCAACAATGGAAATTTCATTAACATTGGATTTGATAACGTAAGAAGTACCTTCTTCATTTAATTCAACAGATAGATCATCAGCATAAAAGTTAGGACCTTCGATTCTAAAGTTTTCTAATTTTGTCGAAGTCCAAACATTTAGATCACCAGGTTGATGACTGTTATAAATTCTAAATGTAAATTGAGCCTGAGTGTGTAAACCTACAATATTTGAATGAATAACTTGGGCGAAACCTAAAATACCGGTTTCTAAATTACTGAAATAAAAAGTAACAGTTTCTACATTGGTATGATCAGGTTTTAACCAGTCTAATTCATCTCTAGCCAATTCTCTAAATGGTTGTTTTTTTTCATTTTCAACTCTTTCTGTTGAAGTTTGAATATAATCTTTACCATACTCTGGTTCAGCGATACCAGTAACTGCAGAAATACCACCTTGAATCCACTTTAACATATTTGTGTTGATAGCTTGTTTTAATGATTAATTCTACCTTCGATGTATATTGATAAAACTTCAATTATATTAAAAAACAATTGATATATATATAAATATGCTTGGGTATCTTTTCAGTGATATAACTAACAATAGCTATCAGGCTTTATTAACCACACACAGATATAAGCTCTTGAAAGTTTACAATGAGATCAAGAAATTTAATGGAAATAAAAGAAAGAGTATTACAGAAGATATGATAATTTAAAAAATAACAATTTTAAGTTTAAAGATTTTGCCATCGACCGATGGATTGAGTTTAAACTAATAGCTATTTAAAAATCTTACAGGAGATATCTTGCCAATGTTGTCACATTGATCAAAGAATTTTAGAAAATTTGATGCTTGAACTACAGAACTGGAAACGGATTCTTGCAAAAAGTAATGATTCTTAGTTAATATTGCCTTCACACAACAAATAGAGCTATCGTTTGATGGCGAGAAGATGAGATGAGCTTGTATAATCCTCGTTTTTCTTTTCTCTTAGCTATTTTAACCAAATTTTTTTTTAACCTACGCAACAAGAAGACGCATCGCCCATCTCTGCGTCGAGCACTGAGGGAGTTTGTTGACAAAATATTAATAACTTAAAAAAAAAAAAGAAAAAGAAAGAAAGCACCCTACGAAATAATTTCATTTCGAAAACAACAACAAATAAACAAGTAAATAAATAAACACTAACACCAATAAAACTAACTGTAAAAAATGGAAACAACAATGGGATTGAATGGTTAAAGAGGATTGAGAAATTCCAACATACACTTTTGTTGTTGTTGACGTTGTTGTTGATATTGGTGTTGATGTTGTAGGGTAAAAAAGACTTGCCAATGAGCGGTCTTTCTCTGCTTATTTTGTTATTCTTTCCTATTCACTTATTGACTGCTGATATTAAAGTCCTATTAATCTTATTTGCTGCACTACGTTGTACTTCTCAAATGAAAAAGACTACCCACTGGTTTCTGTCCTCCCAAGCATTTTTTTTTTTCATTTCAGACTTTATTGAGGACACCAACAATGACGACGATAACTTTGTTGAGTTTTCATGAACACTGTTGCCAATACATATCGAAATTCTATAGTTTTACCTGTTATGGTACAGCAGGCCTTGTTGAATAAATACTCCAATAGGAAATAATGCTCCTATTTTGGCCATATATCCATTTCTGGGATGGGGAACCCAAACGGCCCAATTCGGAACTCTTGTACGGGCTTCGTTTCTTTTGGTGCAATCGCTTCTTAATATCCTTTTGACGGATTTAAGTCTCTCTTGTCCTTTTAATCTCGGGAAGTTGTTTATGCATTGGTTAAAAATTGTATCTTATCGATCGATTGATTGGATTGATTCCTTTTAAAATATCCATTTTATTCAATATCTTAGTAACAATTGGCTCTGATGAGGTAAGGTATCGCTAATGCTAACAATAATCTATATCGAAGGTTATGTATTAGCGGACTTGTAAACATTTTATTTAAAACAGTTTCATTCATTTTACCCGTGCTTGTCGTCTCTAGAAGAGAGTTAGACGGATACGGAAGTGGATGGAAGAAACTTAACCAGTTAGGTCCTGTAGGCTTTTTCAATGGTTTATCATTAACTATATTATTGTTTGTCTGTTTGGGCTCACTCAGAATTTAACCTATGTAATACCCTTGACAAAACGTCACTGACACTTCTCTTCATTTATCGAAATATTCCTTCTTTCCTCCTATTTCATTTTTTTTATTTTATATTTGGAAGGGAACTATATGTTCCATACATATAAATACATACTTATCTAATGATTTATTATTATTTATGAATCTGTCATGGCCTTCTGCTTGATTTTAAACTTTTAACTCTCCTCATTAACCTATTCCCATCAGTACCTGTTCTTTCAAATTGTGGTTCTTCGAAATCATCTATAATTTCCTCTTCTCTGAAAACCATATTATCGATATGCCCACCGCTACGGGTTAAAGAAAGTCCTGGCCCTTCCTGGTATTTTTGATTTTTTCTGTCATCAATATATTCATGAGATTGTGTTCTTGACAATGGTTTCTTCCTCTGTGATCCCGTTCCTCTATAATACCCTTTTGACTGTTGCTGTTCTCTAATTGCAGACGAAGAAGCTGGTGCCCCATCTAAAAATGTTGTAGACCCGAGTCCCATTGTCGTTGGTCCACTTACTGGTTCAGTATTAATTTTGGTATCAAAATGTGTAATATCCCTTAAATTAGGTTTGATCGCATCTACTGTATTAGAACTGGAATTACCTCCACCAAGTTTATACATAGTCGATTGAGGTCCCCTATTTAGATCATTCCTTCTATCCATGTTATACAATGTATCATTATCATCTAAATCTTCCCTGCCAAACACTTCATTCATTACCGACTTCTTCATAGTAGCGCCGGCAATTGTATTATTAGCACTATCTGCAGGAAATGCCATAACTGGAGGCGCCTTATTATTCTTATTTCTATGTGGAGTAATTGCGTCAAATGGTCCATCATGATGAAATGATCTGCCAAATATGCCAGTACCATCAAGTTTATCAATTGTATCTACATTTTTTGGTATTGGAAGTTTTTTCTTACTTTTACGATGATGATGACGGCTGTCACTATTTTTCCCACTATTTTCAGAATTGCTAGACTTATTATTATATCCACCTCTTGAGGCCGATGTTTTACTTTTCTCATCCGAATATTTTTGCTTAGATTTAGGAATTCTAGTTACTTCCTCATATGATGGTGGTAATGCAGTATTAAATACATCATTATCTTCTTCGCCCTTTCTAAAACTATTTCGATTATTGCGACGATTGGATCTTCCAAAATCTTTCTCAAAATTTAACTTTTCTTCTTTAGCTGATGGATACGTTGTTCTATGAACCTTATCTATTTTATTAATTCTTTCTTGCTTAGTTTCAGCTTCAACTTCTATATCTTCATAGAATGGATTTGTCGAAGGAATTTTCTTCGTTAGATGTGGATGTTGAATCCTAATTGATTGTTTGACATGATCTGAACCTCCATTGTTATCTTTATAATCATTGCCATTCATTTCAGCATATCTATCATTTGATCTACTAGTCATTTTGGAAGATATGTTACGTTACTCACTCCCTTGACCCTTACTTGCACCAATGAATATATTATCAAAAGAATTTCCAAACCTTGTATTGTAACCCACAAATATAATCTACTTGACTACTTTAATATGATTTATAAGATCTATCTGTCGTTTTACAACTTAAAAAGAAAATTTGTTGCTAAATTTAGGTTCTCCCCCCTGCAGAATGTTTTTGATCTTACCGTACTAATGACAAAAAAGAAGAACAAAGCAAAAATAAAAAAGGATGTTAATTGATCCAGGGAAATGTTAATATCTATAAAATATAAAAACTTATATACATAAAATATAAAAACTTATATACATAAAAATAGATTTCAGAATAATAATAGTAATAATAGTGATAATAACAACAAAAATAAGAAATGGCTCTTTCTAACAACACAATCTTTTAATCTTTTATTTCGAAATGCAATCAAAATATCATCATTTTATCATTGCAACTTTTTTGATCTGGTTACCTTTAACAACAACCGAAGAAGAACGCGAGATGTGTCTGAATTATCGAAGATGAAACTTCCTAATAACAAGTTTCGAACACATTATTGATATTTGTATACGGCTAAGATCATTTACTATATCCAATCTCTTTCTATGACCTGTTTGATTGTGCTGATACTATATACATGGTGAACAATAACGTATGTATCATTATTTATTATAATTATAAATTGTTCTCTTCTTCCAATGGTAAATTAAATTAGATTAACCATAGAAGTATAACTAATTATAGTAAGTTAATTTGATTTCAACTTTTTATTTCATGTAGATTTGTAAATTGTGAGAAACATTGAATTCAAAGTTATGATGAAAACTTTAATATTTTATTTATATCGTAAATTTCCAATGCGGTTTAATTAGAATTGAACAAATTTTTGATGGGTTTGATCTGATTCAACTACAGAAGAAGACTTTATGAATTCTTTGTTTTTCAAATTTGACTGCGAGTAACGTTCTAATGTTAAGATATAATTATCCAATGAAGGAATCTTATTCATAGTTGCATCTTCACTTAGAATGTTAGACATTACAGAATTATAATATTGGTCAATATTTGGTCTTAAAGGAACTAGAGGTAACGAACTTCTACCAACCAATTGTGACCAATTTTTAATAATGTCAGATGCTTTCTTGTTTATTAATGTATCCATTTTTGGTAGCTTGTTATTTGTAATAGAAATTTGTTGAATTGGTAATCCAGAATCAACCAATAATAAGTCTTGTAGTAATAATCTATTCGTATTTTCATTAAACCAGATGAAAACAGTTTCACCATTGAATACAAGATAACAACCACCATTTATAAACTGATCATGACTATTTCTAATAGCCAAGTTCTCAATGGAATCTAATGATACTTGCAAAAGTTTGTAATTTGCATCGTAAAATGTTAAATCTTCATTTCTTAATGGTACATGTAATGGTATGATTTGTGGATATAGTTTAAAACATAATTCAACCGGGTCAAATGTCAATGTTTTGTATAAGTCATAAATACGATCATTACCACGCGTTGATTGAGAATTTGGTTTCATTAGTTCACCTTTTTCAAATGCCAAAATGTATGCAGGTAGAGTCTTTAATGAATCTGCAAAGTAAACTTGGTTATACGAGTTACCACTAACTAATGCTCTATATTGTGTTAGGATATCCCCTAAAATATCATCAATAGATTTTCTAATCTTGATAAAATCACAATCTCCGGAACTTACGATTATCTCACTTATTAATAATCTCATAACAACATTTTGATTGACATATTTAAATATATCATTGATGTTACTGGAAACGGATGCACTTGTGTTTATACTTCTCACTAATCTAGTACCATTCACATCAGTGTATAACAGAGTGGTTTGGAAAAACATTTTATTAGTATTTTTCAATTTTGTAGTAAATTTCAAACCTGCATCAATTGTGGTATGTTTGGTAATAACTGGAAGTATTGGAGGAGAATCAGAATTGTTAAAAGTGACAGAATTATAATCCGAAACTGTTAAACCATCTGAACAACGAACTTTCAACATAGCCTGGTAACCCTTGATACTTGAAATATTTTCAACCATATCATCGGCTAAGATGCTTTGATCTCTATCATAAACGAATGAGTTGTAATATTTCAAACGACCTGCTGTAACTTTAACAGGATATGCAGTGGCGGCCATTTCAACAAAGGATGATCTTGTGACGTAAAGATCCAAAGATATATATGATTTTAGGTAAGAATGTGCCATATGGGTATAGAATTCACTTTCTGGTTTTAGTGAACTTTTTGATGCATCATCTTTTTTAGTAGATAAGTTTCCACTACCAAAAGAAGGTAAAGAGCTCAAAGTACATACAACTTTACCACCTTGATTTTGAGTAATTGTATCTAAGGCAAGCTTTGCCGCTTGTAGTGCAGAACCATAACAGTTTTGTGGGATATGAGAATGTTTATCATTGATAATATATTCAGTTATCTTTTGCAAAGTATTTTCAATGGTTTCTGCTGATTCCGATGGCTTTACGAACAAACCATGATAGAACGGTAAGAAAACGTCTTCTACCTCAGTTATAATATATTCTTGGACATTTTCTGAATTATTTCTTAAATTGTAAAATTTCAATTTACTATCAAAGGTAATAATAGCTACTTTACAGTTAGGTTGATTATCAGCAATAAACGCGACTGATCTTTTAACACCTTCAATTGCTGCTATACTGGAACCATTTTCATTGGCAAATGTAGAAACATCAATTAAGAAAACGTAATGTAAAGGTAACGGTTCAATATCTGGATTAATGTAGTATTCTTTTGGCACAGAAAAATCGACGGTACCCAAATACAATTCTGGCCTCATAGTGAAATCGGACCTTTTACCATCTGCCCCAATTGGCGAGAATTGTTCAGGATCTAATCTCATCTTAATACCACAAATATTACAAGTAACGCTTGAATCATAAGTGAATTGAAAATTTGGGTTGATGAAAGTTCTACATCTTCTACAACGCAAAGGCTCAATTCCATTTGTCATTTCTACAACTGGAATTTCATCAGGAATAATTGTAGCAAAAGGTTGGACTGTTACACCCAAAGGTAGTCTTGTGGCAGATCTTTTATGATCATCGGATGGGATTACGTTCAT